ATATATCATGCGTTGCCGAACATTCCTGCAAAAACCATTCCTCTGATATGTTTATGAAGCATGGATATTCTCACAACCTCATCAATGGAAAACTTCACGAACAACTTTCTATCAAACATAAACTCTGAATGGAAGAAGCATCATTAGAGGTAAATCGTCACCAAATGGCCATTATTGAGCACTTCAACTATGAGGCAAGCGAGAACCCGATGCAATGAACTGGAATAATTGCATGAAAGTTGTGTCAAAAATCATATACATATCTACAATTTTAATCATCATATTAATGGAACTATTGATATGGCACGTAAGGAGACAGCGATCGGTTTCTTGAATATACAAAAAACGTATGCGCTTTAAGCGAATCCACCGGTTATGCAGGACGGTAGATAGATTCCTTCTACAGAACAATATGTAAATCATGGGACTGACATCGAACAACTTATGCTTGCTCTTCTGGCTGTATGGAAGCATTGTTGATACAACGCGAAACTGTCAAGGAAACTTTGGAATGCTTAGGCCAGTAGTTAGGGTGGCAAGCTACAAACATAATACGAGTACTCGACGTTCACGAAAATAGAAAAGAAGTTCTTTCTAAAGGTCATATATCTATACATATCCTGTTGTATGACAAATCTTTCAGCACATAGTAAAGTGAGAATAAAAATTATCCGCACTAATTTCAATTCCAAATCAATTTTTGTTCCTAATCAGAAAGAAGGTAGGCAAATGTCGGACTTGAAAGCTGCCGTAGTTCCTCAGCTGCGATTGAACAGTAACTCTTGTGATAGATTGTCGAACGTCACTATTTTGAAAAGACGCATTACCTTAAAATTGGGTGACTTGAGCAAAGCGTAAATTCGGTGGAAAATTAATGACAACCTGATAACTTTCCAACATAGCTGATGCTGCTGACGTCACACCGGATATCATCAAAATTAGGTTGCCAAATCGCTCTAAAACAATCCTTTCTTGAAGTATTCATAAATGTCCAGATATGTTTTAGGAACAGATATATGAAATGATACAAGGTCAACTTATGCTGTTAATACAGACTTTGAGAGAATGATAAAGCTTTCGCCACTGAAGGACAGAGTGGTATGTCCGTTTCTAAAGGACTCGCCAAGGCAAATTCGCGAGACTGGTACGTTGTAACAATCAAACTTGAGAATATCGAACGAGAAATGACCATGAATGACCCTCCACAAGTCCTCAAGTTGTGCAAGTTCATCAGACAAGCAATTATTAGGTTCATAAGCAATTCATCAGTGCTACAACAAAATCTTGTTTTATCAACCTTTTTCCGGTCAGGCCGCAATCTCTTTGCTGAATATTTCACTCTATCTCGTAGATCAAGATCTGTCTTGACCATAAGAATTATATTTGATAGTTCTAGCGTCAAACTTACAAAAAGAAAATCGAGGAGAAAGAAGCTTACCAGGATAATTTTGATAACAGATATGTTGATAGTACTGGAAAAGAGCAGCAATCACTTGATCACGATATGCTAGAACAGCTTTTCTCGATTCATCCGAAATCTCTGAGGTTTCTGAACTTTTGCTGGGTGATAGAACCCCTATACAAAGCCAACATCAACTGGCGAGCCTCAATAAGGCCAAATAATTACGGATTACCTGTGTGGTTCCCACAATTGAAAAGCATAATGATCTTCAAAACAACTAACTCCTGTGGTAAAAGTTGAAGTTGTCGAAGAGGAGTAGCAACCTAAAAGATCATTAACATACGTTGAGGGCGTAACTTGTGGTGCACCTAGAACAGAATATAAAAGAAAACAACCATAAAGCAACTCTCAGATAATACATCAAATGATATTACTACTGTAAAATACGTTAAAAAAACCCATTGGTGATGCAAAATCAACGGCTTCAAAGAAGTAAGCTCATATTACCTCGTCTATGCAAGTGTCAGTCATATTTTTATAGAGCTTCTCCTGCCTCCAACGACGATCTGGGGATATTGTAGACTAAATTACAGGAATACAAAACAACAACGTGAGTTAGAGCTCGACAAAACACTAACACGGCATTCTTCCGGGAGAACTTCTACGTTTCGTGGCATGAACGTGCCATTGGATATCAACCACACGTCTTCCATATTGGTACTAGCAGTGAAGAAGCCATGCTCCAAAACCAAATGGTGTACAGCAAATCGCTAAATACATCAATCTGAGTGGTGATAACTTGCTTCAATTTGAACGAAAGTCTTGCGAAAGATTTTAGTATTCACCTTCAGGAGTATGACTTTATCCTCAACAGCCAATGGAGGAAAACACGGAAGAGTCCGAACCCACTCAAGCATCATCAAAAGATCTGTTTGTGTCACGTGCGAGATGTCTTTAGCGAGGATAATCATCAGTTTATTAGTAGTCTCATCCTATAAACTCTTAGGAGATATGCCGCCACGTGATGAAATCCAGGTGTAATTTGAAAATACATATGCAACCATGCATTTGAAGTCGAAGTCAGAACGGATGGGAATAACTATGAAATTACCGGTTCTTCAGGAAGTATAGTGGATCGCAGCGTTTTGATGTCTCTATCTTATACAGATTGTGCAGCCTACTGTCATTACGTGGGTGCGGTAAGAGACAAAAATTTGGTCTAGAGGGAATGAAGGCAAGTAATAAAGATTCCTGTGTTTTGAGACAATGTACTACTATATGGATTCACTAAAGAGTGAGAAGGGTGGCAACCACGAAGAAATTTCTATAGAAAGACAACTTCTTAGAAAAAAAATTTTTCTGCAATAATCCAAGACCTGAGGCATTTCAGCTTCTGAGAAGCATTAAAAACTTTTAATTTAGATCTACTCATACAGTTGCGGCGCTAATCCATGTTATTCGATGTTGCAACATAACAAGATAAATGGGATACCTTGGTTGTACTCACATAGTCCGTGCCCGCACGAATTATTTCGGCCAAATTCATTGCCTCTTTCTTCGACCTCATCAGCTCAAACTTTCTCTTCCTAAAAGCGGCCTATCGTATTGACACTATACAAAACCAAGTCTTGGACGGTACGGTAATTCAATGAAATACATGCATAACTGGTGAAGCCATGCGGCTCCTACCTAATTCTTTGGTCAATTTCGGTAAGCCTTTCTATGAGTTGTAGCAAATGCTCCTTAGCCGGATCTGTGGTAACAGGATCACTTGGAGATGGAGTACGTAGGATTGGCCGAGTTCGTACTCTCCGGCAACCAATAAGATCACGTCTTGGTTGAAGAGCTGAGATTGTGATGGATAAAATGAACGACAACGTTGCACTTTCGTGACTTTCTCAACTAAGAGCTGAACGAAGAGTACCTTCTCGACTCATTCCACACTCTAGACATTTCCTATACCGACAAGCTCTGCACGCTTTGCGAGCCGCTTGAGTTACATCACATGGGTTGTCGCGTTTACATAGTGTGTCCTGCCGTTGTACAACTGCTCTGCAACGGCTTTATGAGTAAAGCCAACCTTGCTTTATTTGCTTAAAAAACTAGCGTCTCAAATGTTTTTTGAACGATAAGGATCGCTGATCATTAGATCGAGTTAAGCAACATGATTTGAAAATCTCGAAAAGCAAAACGCTCCAGTAAAAAACACAGAGGTCTACATGAAGAGGTAAGAAGCCAGAAATTGAACAAAGTAAACATACCTCCGAAAAAACGTTTTACATCCCAAGCAAGCAACAATACCATAGTGTTTGCCAGTGCTTGGCTCCCCACATATTAGGCAATCCCCAATTATGCCTAAATAAACTTCTATTATGTCAAATTTAGGCCTTTTAAATTTAGTGTAGCATTTATTTGGCACACAACAAGAACACTAAAAAGCAGAGTTGTTCCAGTGTTGTTCCACTAAGAATGCAAAGAAGATGATAGAAGCAGAATAAAACTGTTTAACCATACCGCACACTGATGCGGGTGATTCCATAAGTTATAGCAAAAAACAGTCCTCAAAAAAATCAAAACTTGACGTGGACGCTTACTATATGCGTTTTGAGAACTCATCACAAATTATTAGTAAATGAAAAATTTTAGTTTCTCAAACCTTTTTAGTTCCTCTGATCTACCGTGGGTGCAATACCCCGTAAAGATCGGCGATTTATAGGAGATTGTATCACAAATTCATTCAATATTACAAGGTTTCTGAGATAGAGTTGATCGCACGGTGTACTTCACAAACCTAACTTTAAACAAAACACCGAGATCAGGATAGGGCACACAAGTTCATCTATACTTGGATGAAAATCTTGCATGAAGGATTTTACTTTGACTTCCAATATAGCTTCTTATGCATATTTATCAGCATGTTCTCGCTACTTGTGAGAATGCTGGAGAATTTTCATGAAGTTTGCTAAAAGAAAGTAGTGGAAGTGCTTTTGAGATTTGGGAACCAATTCTGAAAAAAAAATCTCTAAAATCAGCAATTTTCAAAAACTGCAGTTCAAAATGATCGTTAACCAGATGGCGGGAGGGTTCCTCAGTACATATCCTCAACACTTCATGGGATTTTTCCATAGGAAATTATTGACATTCAAATTCAAATATATTATTTTGAATTCTATCAATAGGTTTTTTTT